GAGGAGGAGGAGAAGAAGGAGGGAAAGGAGGAAGAGCGGTGGCAGCAGCAATGAGAGGAGGTTAAGAGGAGGAGCAGGAAGGAGGAGGCAGGGAAGAGAAAGAGGTGGAAGAGCAGAGGAGGAGGAAAAGAAGAAGAAGAGGTGGCCCCCTGCCAACTGCTGTGGCGAGGCTGGCTTTGAGGGTGGGATGGGGGCAAAGTGCCATTGTCCTCAATGCGGCCATGCCACCATCAAGTACTATGGGACTTGAGCATCCGCAAATTTTTGTATTTGCGGGGGGATACAGAACGGATCCCCCGCGGACATTGAGGTCCCACTGTAATGTGCATATAGATGTTTGGGGGGACATATGGGATTCCAGCCAAAAAAGCTGGGTCAATGTAAGTATTGTACCTTAACTTTTATCAAAATAGGAACTATCCCCTTCTCTGAGTAGCGTAGCGAAAGGCAAGAGTTTAGTCCAGGGGTAGGCAAACTATTGACCAACATGGCTGAGGCTTCTGGGAGCTGAAGTCCCTCGGCCCTTAAAGGGGACAGTTTGCCGACCCCTGGCTTAGTCCATCCCAGGAGAACCTAAAAGAAGCACTGACCACCTCTGCTTTCTCTTTCAGTGCCGCTTTTTGAATGTCTGGGTGAGAAAATAGCAGCACACTTAGGCATCATTTTCCTTCCCATCATCCTTTACATCCTTCTTACATGCCCTGAGTTTTACCCTTAACTTATCCGTGGGTCATATCAAAATGTACAATTTTGCCCAAAAACCTTCCCTCGACTTATGCATGAGGTCACCCTATAGCCAAGTATATATGGTAATTTTAGTTGGCTCTGCAATTGTCGAATAATATTTTTCTCATTTTTAAGTTACCATCAGAATTGGGTGTTCAGAGCCCTATTGTGCATTAGCTGTATGTCTTTTTTTCTTTTGCTGCTCTTTTTCTTCTTTATGGTTTTTTTAATGTTTGATTGTATATTACTTTGTAAATTAGATTGTTTGTGCTAAAATTTAATGAAAATAATTGAAGGAGGAAAAAGAATTCAACTGAAATGTAGTGATTACAAACTTTAAAAAATTTCCAATGTAAAAAGCAAAACACCCACCCATTTTTTGGTATTATTTGCTGCACCCCTGCAAATAATAGTTCCAAGTATTTATTTCTGAGTAGCGTTACTGAAATTTGTGGGACTGTTTCCAAGTATACTTTGTGAGTAATAGCGTCAGTCTTTCAAACATGTGAGAAATTGCAAAGAATCAGTTAGATGAGTGTTTTCAAGTTCAC